CACACACACACACACACACACACACACACACACACACAAACCATAATTTAACATCAATACCTGGACACACTTATGATTTCAGTAGCAAGGCATCCTTGAGGGAAACAGAAAAAAAAACTCTGAAATTTTACTGCATGCTTTGAATTGTAAAAAGTAGCGCCACCTGGTGGGCAAATATAAAAATTTAAGAGCGGTCCAAAATAAAATCCTAACATAAAGAAATTTGTTAGTTGATGTCAAGATGAATGCGGGATCAAAAATTTTATTTTCAGTGGGGCATTTTGGGGGGGGGGCTGAGGATGAAATGTGGAGGTTTTTGCGTCGCTTAGCCATTTTAAGCTAATTTAAGGAACTGAGACAACAATTCTAAAATTAAATAAATAAATAAAATATATTGTCTTGCAAATATGAGCTATGTTAATTCAGCACAGCCAAAATCGCATGAAATAAAAAGCAGAACTGCACAAAATGTTTTCCAGGGTTAAGCGTCGCTTCATTCTTGCAGATGTTCTATTAACACATCCCAAGGACTTTGCTACGGGCAGCAAAACAGACAGTCGTGTTATTGTTTTATCACTGTGTTTGATGTCCACATGATTCAGGAAAATTGGGTCCCTTTTGGACAATTGACGGTAGTTGATATGACAACTGAGAATTGGTCATTTTGCTTGCTCATCAGCTCTTCAAACACTCCATCTGTGTTTGTAAGAGACAGGAATAATTATTGCCTGCTCATATCCTCCTCAGTCTTTTGTTCTCCAGCTGGTGTCAGAATGTCTGCTTGTATGTAGTATGGCGCAATTACTCACAATCTCTCACTCCCATTCTCTCTTGTTAAAGGATAAAATAGATGCTGACTGCTTTTTTTTAGTTGTTTATAATCGAAATATTCTGTTTCTGCCTTGCCACATCAGTAGTCATTTTGAGCTCCCTCTGCTTAAATAACACATTCTTGATTGATTCACAAATTCCCTTTGGATGGAAAAGGCCTGCCTGTTTTCCCATATCTTTTTATGTCGCTGGCTAGCATCCCTGGGCCATGTCAGGATTTCCTCCGTCTCCACTCGTGTCTGTATAAACAGGTCATGAACTCTGTTTGTCTGTCCAAACAGGGCTTGGACACTTATCGCTCATTACACATAGAGAGATCACTATATATAGCTGTGTAAACATGCTGCAAGACTGTAAGTGGATAAGCGTGCGTAGGCATGAATGTAACTGGGGATATTTGCCCGGTGAGTTTCTCATTTTCCTGTAAAAGACATTTGTATAAAAACAGTGGCGCACAAAGATCTTCTTACATCTCATTTCCTCTGACTCAGTGTTAATGCCTCACCAGTCCACGGTTTTTAATAACTCAACAATATGGTCAGTGCCTTTTAAAAAGGTAAGAACAAAGCAAAAAACAGGGGCTTTTTTTTTCTTTTTTGTCCTGACAAAGTCCTGTTGAGAAAATTCACAAACGCAAATATATTATTTCTCTGTAAAACCAGCACTGTTGCTTTTTATGGAGGGATTTAGCATTTAGTAGTTGGGTAAAAATAAGACTGAAAGACTGAATGAACTTCAGTCCTTTGGATGAAGAATCCAGGTTTAAGCACTGCTGAAGTAGTGATAATGGTTATATTGGTAATGCGAGAATTAGGCTGAACAACAGTCTTTCTGGACACTGAAATTTCCATTGTGCATCTGTGTGTTATTATTTTTCTTTCCAAATGCAGAACGTACAGTCAGCTGGTCTGAGGAAAGGTATGAGAACACAGGAGATTTGATTCAATATGGCAGCGCAAAGCAGCTTTTTCGTGTTCATCAGAAATCTGTTTCTAGGGCGCCAGTTTAGCTCAGAGGGTGGGCAGGTGAGCATAGGTTGCAAGGCAGCAGGTGGGGTTTGAGTTCGATCTGGTGACCTTTGATGCGTGTCTTCCCCTAACTCTCTGTCCCCACCTTTTTGTCCACTCTCCACTGTTGCACACATTTTATAAAGGCAGTCTAAGTTTTTTTTAAAATGTGAAAATCAAGTTTGAATATTCTGTCCCTCCAAATCAGTGCTTGAATTTTAAATGGCATAGAAATGAACTTTTATTGTGTTTTGAAGCTGCATTACACTACTTTAATTTGTTTTTTAGCTTTATACCGTATACAAACCTTTTCATTTTAAGGGTGCAGTGCCACTGTGCATGTCTATCCACAGAGTTTCCCCTTACATATTCACATGGTGTCAGGTGGTGGTGTATCAAAGTTTATATATTAAAGTGAGATACTGAAGTTCAGATGGGTACAGTCATGTTTTTGCCATCACTGGATTAAAAAAAACATTCAGTATGCCTTTGGCGAAGGCTTTGAGGTGTTTTGAGGTCATATTGAGGTACACCAATGAGCCTTTTTTTAATACTTACTGTCCCCACTGTCATGCAAACATCTGCATTACAAAGGTAGCAGGTAGACCTGGAATAGCTTTGTCCTTGTCCTTGCATAAATAAATGGAGCCTATGGCATTTGGTGGCCTAGTGATTAAAATACAGGCCACACAAAGTCAGCATCTACAGTTTCATGCAACTCCTTTTTGTGCAAAAGTGTATTAGACCAGAAAAAGAAATGTTATTTGTAGTAATGCAACTTTGTCTGTGTTTTTAAAGGTCCAGTGATCGGCGAGTTTTTGAGCCAGTTAATGCCTCTTCTCCATAACTGCCTCCAACCAAACAGAGACCCAGAGATGAGGATGAGCATCTTCACAATGCTTGCAAAGTTGCTGCTGGATGCAAACAAAACACTGGATTCTCAGGGGTGAGAGTGACACGTGTTCACACTAAAGAACAGAACTCGGGAATGAGATGTTTCTGTCTGACGTTCATGAATATTTCACACTTAACAGCACGCTCATTTGCTGTTTCCTTTTTCATCCTTTTCTCTGGATGAGGTTCAGACTTTAAATTTCCAACTAATCAGTTTTAGTTTACACTTTCTGGATTTTACATCACTGTGTTCATTCAAAACATGCTAACAAGGAACCATAATTAGGACTGCATGCACAAAATGAGTAATTGTAGAAGTTGTTTGAGATGGTTGGTGATAGGATTCATATGTAATGATAATTAGCTTTATATTCACACCTATAAAAACAGAGGTTGCAGAGTGTTTTTGACACGCAATAGGAAAACGTCTGAGGCAACGGCCAATATTTTGGAGCTTTCAGTGTGGCCAGGATATTCGGAATATCAGATAATGTAAATTATCTAATATTCCAAAGGCCAAGATTTCCAGTTTCACATCTTGGTCGTTGTTTACTAGTGAAAATAATTTTTACGTGGGTAAAACATCATTGCGTGAAATTGTACTCCTTTTTCTCTCTACATGGACAGTTTTACTTGCATGCAACCAAGGCCTGGTCAAATGTGATTAGTCAGTACGACTCAAACTGCACACAGACAAGAAATATAAATCAGAAAGCTTCCACTATGTTTACATCCAGAAATCTTCATGTAAAATAATAAGGACAAATGCAAAATGCCATCCATCCATCTTTCCTCGCTCCCTCTACCGCTTATCTGGGCTAGGGTCTTTGGGGCACCAATCTCAGTGGGTTGATACCAAATCGTTCCCAAGCCAGCCGACAGATATAATCTCCCCAGCGAGTCCTGGGTCTTCCCTGGGGGCCTCCTCCTGGCAGGACATGCCTGAAATGGCTCTCCTAGGAGGCTCCAAAATGCCATCAAAAAAATAAATAAATGGATGAAAACAATGAAAAAAAGTCTAAACGATTCTGCCAGAACCGGGGATTTAAAAGAATCTCTGAATCTGTAAAACATTTCTCCTCAGGCAGGTAATTCCAAAGCCACAAGGTCATAATTTCTGCTCCATAGCTGGGCACCAGGCCCAGACATACTTTAATTTTTTTTTTTTAAATAAAAAAGTCATAAAAATCAATTGTAAAACAAACAGGAAGCCAATGGAGAGAAGCTAGGGTTATGTGATGTTGTCTGCTAAAATCAGTAAGAAGCCCAGTCATCCTGAAATTATAAACCACATTCCTCACTCACCATACAGACTGCAGGGGAGTCCCATTTGAGTTCAGATGGTCTCATTGGGAGTATTAGATCAACTAACGCTGATTAATTAATCACTTCACAGCTTGCCTGAAGCAAACGGCGCATGCTGCCTGAATCTCTTGTCGCTAATTTGAATGGTTATTGACTGCTTAAGGAGATATGAGGGGGTCTAGCAGGGATGTCTGACATCCACCCCCCACGCCAACACCACCCCAACAGGGTCCCCTCTGAGCCCTCAGCTGTGCAGCCCTCAGTATGGGCTCGGGGTTGCGTCTGATGGAATGCATTAAACCCGAGATCCTCGCAGCAGCTGCTCCCGTCGATCAGAAAGAAAACCTCAGACGGAGACATCTGTGTCGTGTGTAACTAATCTTAAAGCTGCAGTCAGAAAGTTTGTTTTGTTAATAGGAGGAAGAAACTAGTGCTAATCTTTGTATGGGAACACACTAGAAGTCCCCTTTGGCTCGAGTTGGCAGCGGCAGCAGAAGGCAACATAATGTATTTCAGTGAAAAGTATCACATAAACAGGAGGTCTTCTTGAGCCAGAATATTCTGCCATCTTTGCCAAAAATGTGGAAGTTGGATATTCAGCTTTCGTGAGATTTTTTGTTTTTTTAATCCATAATTTGGCATATCGCACAAAAGAAGTCTGTCTCTTCACTTCCAACGTGGCCACCTGCACTGCTAACTGGTTCACTCATCCCTGAGCTATATCTCCTGTAATCACAAACCCTCAGTATGACGGAAATCATGGTATACCTTCAAAAGGTTTCAGATTCATATAGTGTGAACTTAAATTATCCTATATGGGGCTTTGCCTTCTGCCAAAGTCCTCTCCCCTCATGATTTATGGACTGGTCTTGATGCTTGGCAGATTGCAGGCCACACACGCGCTATATGTCATCAAGAGCACAATGATAGTCATAGAGAAAACCTCTCGTCTTTGTTCTGAAACCAAAATGGCATAATGACAGCGCCGCTATGGAACAAGCTGAAAGGGAAAGTTTGTGTGCGTTCACGTGCCTTTCATCCGCACACGTTCATAACACTTTTGTTTCATGTGGATTTGTGTGTCGTGATTAAAAAGCTGAGTATGAAATCTAAGTAGAAGGTGTTGTGTAAGAAATGAAAGTGTGTGCCTCTGTTCTCCACCGTATGCGGCTGGACAAAATAATCTGAGTTACAAGGAAGACAACGGTGTGCTTTCATGCATGAACGATATGCAATAGATACGTCTTTAGTCTTAATGTCAGGTTTCAAGATATGAAACGGGAGGGAAAAAGAGATGAGCTCTTTCTCTTGTTCCAAATGTGGTTTCTTATCTTTTTTTTGATTGCAGATAAATTAGTAACATGAAAAAAGAATAAACTGAGCTGTGCTTTTATCAGAATTGACCCTGTAATAACACATTATAGAATGAAACAAATGACAGGGTAGTTGAAATGAATATTGCATAATAATATGGTTAAATTCCAAAAACCTTCCAATACACCTTCTACTAGGGCTGTTCGATATAACGATATATATCGATGACGATATAAAAACGTCTATTGTTTCATTTTACGCCATGGTTTGTTTTGTGGTGTCGCAAAATAAACTGTTTACGGCAATATTTTTTCATGGTTTTGATGGTCACTGTAGTGGCTCTATTAATTTCTTAAAGTTCTCTCTTTCTCTTATATTTTATATAACCACACTACAGATGGACAAAGCGCCTGTTTTTATGCGTTGTGGTTAGCAACAACGGCGGTAACAGCATTGCGTGTCTGCTTATTTATGTTCCGCATAAACCTTTCACAATAAAGTCCTAAGATCCTGTTGAGACTTTCCAAAATAAATGGAATCACGCGAAAGAGCAGATTATTTACGGATGAGAATTTAAAAAAAAAAAAAGAGCCGCCAGGTGCTAAAAAATAAACCTTAGACTCAAACGTTAGAACAGGCTTTTCCCCGCAGCACGCCGTGTAATAAATACTCACAAAGAAAACGGCCGCCTTTACAACTTATGTCTAAAAATGTATAGTTTCACTCGGAGTTAAAACACTCCGACATGACTCGCAGCTGGAAACGCTTCCCGCAAGTCGAACTGCCCGAGATTCACAGAATTTACAGAAAATGTTACATTTTTGTGATTTTTATATCGTTATTCGGACGATAGAATTCTTTTATCGGGATATGAGATTCTGGTCATATCGCACAGCCCTACCTTCTACCATGACGCCATCATTTGGGCAAAAGTGCTGGGGTACCTTCCTACCTCAGCCATGGAAGCCCATGGCATGAAGCTCCCAGTGCAAAGTTTTTGTGCTGATGTTAATGCCGGAGGAGGTTTGCAGTTATTGAGTCAGCAGACAGTTGGTGAATTTTCCACATTCTGCTCCTCAGCACTCAGTGACCCCGCTCTGTAGCTTTACATTGTCTGCCACTTTGTGGCCGAGTTCCTGTGGTTCCTAAACACTTCCACATTGCAATGATAGAACTTACATTTAATTGTGGAATATCTCAGCTGCAAGAAAATGTACAAACTAACTTGTTGCTACAGGGGCGTCCAGTTGCATTACCATGCTCAAGTTCAGTGAGCTCTTCCAAACAAGCTATTTTTTTTTTGACAAATGGTTGAAAAGGCAGACTGCATGACTACCTTGCTTTTATACACTTGTTGCAGTAGGGCTGAAAACACCAGATTTCAAGATTAAGATGTCCAATCTTGTTGTCCACATTGTGTATGTGCAATGATGATTTAAAAGACCCAAAATCTATTTGAGGTCTGTGCACTGCATAAGACCAACTACAGAAAAAAGCACAGTCTGAATATGGCTTTTGGCATCACATGAGATTCAAAATTCACTTCTGTTTAATCCAGTGATGTAGGATGACTGCAGGTGTGGTCTAGAAAAACAGATTAAAAATAGAATGAAATCTAGTTAAATTCATATGATTTTATTTAGGGGAAAAACAGTCAGTAGTGTACTTCTGTTAATGTGCCAATTGATATATATTAAAATAATTTCAGTTTCATTTTTCATTATTAATGATTGATTTAAGTTGTTGTGCAATGTGGAGCATGCCAGAAAATGAACCACTTGACCTTTTTTCAACTGCATCTGAAGGCTTTCATCTGATTTAAATAAACCTGTAATTGAGTAACGTGTGGAACCATGGGGGTTTGTAAAAAAGACCAGAGTTTCCTCTTGGATCACTTAATGTATGCTGAAATGTTACTGTGGATTTCTTTGTCCAATGATGCCCAGGAGATTTGTTCCCTTCCCCATCTTTGAGACCAATTTTCTGCTGTGCTGTCTTCTGAGTGACACTTAGCTCTGAGAGATTGCTCAAGTACATATAAAGCCATTAGGTATACAGTCAAAATTACCTAGCACTTGCGTGCACGGGTGTGCATGCATACAGATGTGTAAGTACAACACAAAATCTTGCTTCCCTAACCACTTGACATCATCCTTGTAATGTGGGAATATGTCTTTCCATCCTCTGGCATCCCTCGTGATGAGCTGTTAAGGTGACTGAGCCCATCCAGCTGCACAATTCTTGCTGTATTTGCGACACACAGTCCCCCTCTACTGGCAGGGAATCGTTGCAACACTTTAACGCATGTGGCATATGACAGGTTAGTGGCATAAGCTGAAGAACCAGTGGCCAGTGCTGGTTTGCAGTTAAGGGCATTGCAGACTGTGGTATGGATGCCAGAGGCAGAGAGAAGTGAAAGGAGGATACCCAGATGTTCTAGTCATTGCGTCAGGCTTTTTCTCCACTGCTGCCTTCCTCCCCCTTCTGCGTTACGACAGCGAGTGTAGGACTGTCCATGATATTGATGGTATAGCTGTAATGCTGCAGCAGTCATGTTACATTTGCACATCATCAGAAATGTTTCGGTGCTGGCCGGTTGCTGTATTGTACATAAAGCAGATGTTTTCTCTGTACTCCTGCTGACTTATCGTGTCTTTTTCCCCCCTTCCTGTGCGTCATCCCAGGCGTTTCCATGACGATTCAGAGAGGTTTCTGAGTGACATCCTGCTTCCTAACCTGGTGTGGCACGCAGGCCGCATCGCCGCTGCTGTCCGCACCTCTGCCCTCAGCTGTCTGCTGGCAGTGCTGCATGGAGGTGCCATCACACCTGGACAGGTATTTACTGAAGGACATCAGCAAATCCATCACATGTATAGTATGATGCGCACAGTTTTTTCTGTTTCCACCTGTGCAGAGTGACTCATAAGCACTGGAGGCACATACCGGATGTGAGCTCCCTCCAGCACTTTTGATCTCCAATCTGCAGGAAAAAATTTTTTATTGACTCTGTAAAGGAAAAGATGTGGTAGTGCATTCCTGTAATCCATCAGGGCTTGACATTTACATCAGATTCTCTGTTTTGTCCATTTCACATCAAAATAGACTGTCCCACTCGGCCTTTTAGGAAAATATATTGTCCGCCATCTTTCTCTCCTTGGCTGAAAGAGTTGGCCACGGCAGGTAGCAGGTGTACGCGGGGGCAATCGGGTTCACATACCTTTGTCCCAGAGGAACAATGCTTCCACTGTTCTGGGCCCTTGTTATATGTAGGAACTGTCACCGGAACATGCCCTTGCACCTGCCTGCCGGAGCGTGTGCCGAGTTTACAGTATGTGCGTTCGCACAAGCACCCGCACATCTGGCAGTACTTGCCCTCACGTGCACAGAGTGACCATTTTAAACTAGCTCAAGCACCTGGTCTTTTCAGACATCTTTAGCTGCAAATATCTGGGGTGGGGCGGTGTGAACGTAGGCGTACGTGTCCACGATTGCAGGAGCGGAAAGCCTCGAAAAGAGAAATTTTGGGTTTGAGTTGAACAACACATTCAGATCGATGCGAGAACAGAAAGCCATGTGTGTTTTCCACAGGCGACTCGACAGCGACTCGTTTAAAAGGACATTGTTTCCTCTCTGCTCCCTGTGAAAACAATTAGCAGCTCCAGTTGCACTTGGCACCGTCAGATTGTCACTGATGTAATGCCGGATCACTTCTCTGCCAAGTTTTCCTCCTCTTTTTGACCCCCCTTCCTTGCTCTCTCTTTTTTTTTTTTTTTTACTTTTTTTTATTGTTTCGCCTGCATGGTTTCGATAGCAAACAGACTGGGCGACAGAGGTTTTAGCCATCACTTCTTGGAGCCTCACCTTGTTCATCAGTCTGTTTCTCTGCCGGTGTGATTAAAACATCAGTTCCTGCTGGACTCGAGCTCAACGTGATTGTGAACTCATCCAAACCTGTAAATGCTATACTTCAGGTTGATGTTTCGCAATTTAAGCAAATAAAACCTCATGTGGTGCTGACTGACCCCTAAATGAAAATGGCTTTGACATCTTATGTAGAGATAGAATTTCTTTCTTGGTTGGCTTGCATTTTAGAAACGATGTAGTTTGACCCCCTGCCCGTTCTGTACGCAGCTGATCAGTCTGGAGGAGAGGATGCGTCCCCTGGTGTTGTCGGCCCTGGAGGAGGACTCTCAGATGAGCCGACTGTTGGCTTGTCGCTGTCTGTGTGCCATACTCAGACTCACAGGAACCAGTTTGCACCACGAGGCTCTCAATAAGATTTACCCTGGTAAGTCACAGTGTGCACTGTCATTTTTTGTGAATGCAGTTCAGGCTCGATTCAAGTCATTTTTATTTATATCGCACCAAAACTGTTGCCTTTAGGTGTTTTAAATTGTAAGGTAAAGAGCCTGGAAGAAGCCAGTATGGGTGAAATATGTTCTTTCTTTCTAGTACCTGTCAGTACCTGACATTTTGCATTATAAACCTGATGTAGTCAAAAACATTATTTATTTATTTATTTATTACCACAGAGCTTCTGAAGCGTCTGGATGATAGCAGCGAGGAGGTGCGCGGTGTGGCCCTGCAGGCTGTGGGGCTGTGGTTTTCCAGCCTGACCAAAGACTACAACCCTGTGCTCTGCGGTGCTCATCTGCAGCTTCTCTTTCAGCAGCTGCTCCTGCACCTGGATGACCCTGACAGTTCAGTGCAGGACCAAGTGCTCGGTAAGACTGGGTGGGGTTTAGAGACTAGGACAGAGTGTTGATAGCAGGACGCAAACATGCCCTCAACCTGCTTTTTAAAACAAATAAAAAATATTTAAATTTGACGTTTTACTGCTGTAGCTCCTTCTGGGTCTGCACTCTTAATCCAAACCATAACTCTTGACGTACAATGACAAACTCTCGTACAGCTTGTTTTTTTCCTTGACATCAACAGTCCCTGATGCTGTGAGAATAGTGCAAGACTGTAACTAAAACTCATTGGGATACATTAAGCGCACCGTTCTCAAGTTGCGTGTGCGCTGTTTGGTTTCAGATGATGTGCGACGGATCTTACGATCTTGATTATCTGAGAAATATGATGGTGAGTGTGAGGCAGTGGTGAAAGCACAGTTTAGGTGTGACGCTCTGCAGATCAGCCCCCTGTGTCCAAAACACTCAGACAGGGATAAGAGGAATTTGGGGTGTCTTCTATCAAACGTTAGACTGTGCTACTGGCAGTCGGCCAGTGTACCCTCTGCTCCCTTTTTCCAAAGCTTACCATTATCCCTCTTTTCCACACAGTTTATCACCAGAAGCAGCATGTGCAATTTCCCCTGTCAAAGTATTTTAAGACCATTAAGAGCTGGGCTTTTCTTGGGCTTCAGGGGTTGCAGATAAAGACCTCCCCACCTAAGATGTTCATTTCACAGGTTAAATATGTGAGCTTTAATGTCTGTATATTAACTCCCTCCTACACGCACAGGAGTGTGTGTGTGTGTGTTTGTGTGTGTGGTGTGCCTCTCTGCTCAGGATCTCTCTTCTCAACGCTCCCACGAAATGAAAACCACATTCAGACCACTCTGCCCCTCGCCACCTTTTCACATCTGCCCTCACATCCCACTTAATCCCTTCATCTTTTATCTGTCATTCTCTCTTCCTCCTCCTCGTGCTCTCTGTTGTCCACAGTGGCTTCACGGCTGTGTTTTATTTACGTATCAGTGGAAAGTCTGAGCACATTTTTTTCCCTCCTGAACTGTCTAACCAAGCCTCTGCTCCTCTGGACTTGCACTCCCTCCCACTCTCATATGGATGTTAGCTGTCATTGCTTCTGACAGGACGCAGGTGAGTGCTGATGCCTTTGCCAGTGATGAGCGAGAGGGAGGCCTCGCTAAGGGACCTCTCTTTCTTTCTCTCTCTCTGGGTTTAAAAAAGAAGCATTTTCATACTCGCCAGATGCCGCCGAAGCCTCAATACCATGAAGCCTCACACTTAAGAGGACTTTACAAAGACACTGTTTGTTTCTGTGATGGAGACTTACTATATGCACACCCACATTCAGTGTTTTTTCTTTTCTTTTTTTTATTGAGAGCAGTTTCTGTGTTGTATTTATTTTTTTAAGGATCTCCTTGGTGGGTGGAAAAAATAATGGGATTCCTCTTGGCAAGGCTAGGACGTTCGTTTAGCCGCACTTGTGGAGGTGGAGCATTAGGAAGAGCGCTGGCCTGGATCTTGCTCACTTTCTTTAAAACTGAGAGAAAGATGTCCATGGCCTTGATTCTGTTTGTTTCAGTTTAATCATGAAATGAATAATTGAGGATGTGGTTACTGTCTCAACTTATCCAGGACACGAAACAGTTGCGTATCTCACACAATGGCAACAAATCCCATGAAAAGTCCCACATCACTGTTGGGTTTATTCTGCTAGCAGTTAGTACCTGCATAGCCAAAGCCTGTTAAGTCTTTACTCCGTGTCTTAGATCTCTGTGTGATAGATGAGTCACACTGGGTGAAGTGTTCCTACATTTTCCTTGGCCATGAGACTCTGATGCAGCACTCACAACTACCAAAAAAGACTGTTTGAATGAAATTTATAAACAACTGCTGGTCTTTTCAATGTATAAAAAAAGCATCAGCCCTCTTTAACATTATTGGCTGATTTTAGGTCAACATACTGTGACAGACAATAGATTTTTCTTTTAATTGATATTTAAAAGTTTAAATATCTAGTTTAGTTATTTCAGCTGAAACCAGTGACTCTCACACTGGGGTCATCCATCGTTGATGCCAAAAAGTACAGTGATAGTTTTGTTTCATTGTGTGGGTTTTGGTTTTTTTTTTTCTTCAATTCAAGTATTCATTTACCACATTGGCACAGTATTAGGGATCATTTTCATGCTGAAAAAGGAAGCTGTAGCCAATCACGTTTTCTATACATGATGGGTCAAAATCCGATTGTACAAACGCATAATTCCAGTTTTTCCGATGGTTCACCCAAAGGTCCAGAGGCACCACTCAGGTCCTGTGTCAGGTCTGTGCTGGATATTTTTTAAGACTTATTACATCTTCTTTTGTCCTCCACTTGTCCAGTTTCCTCAAATTTATTAAGGACACAATGCACACCAGTGCCAAAATCTAGGGAGTTTTTGGCTAATAGCGCTTTGTAAAAACACCTTGTTGATGCAAAAATGCTTTTTGGCCAACTGCATTATCGTTGGTATTTTTCATGTATTCAACTAAAGAAATGGTAACAAATTATCCGTTTTGCAACAGGCTGCCAGTAAAAAAATTCCCTTAAGATACAATTTAAAATTGTGTGTTATTTATAGACACAACACTGGCTCCTTGGAAGCAAAATTTGAAGAAATGAGGGGTGGCACAGGACTTTTGCACATTGCTGTTATAAATGGAAAAAATGAGGGACATTTACACAAACAAAATAAACATATTCCACCTTCACCCGTGTTATCTTTTCAATCCAGATTTATTTTCTGATACAATTGTGTAAAATTGTGTCACGTGTGTCTGAAGCATTTAGGCTGAAAGGGTTTGGAATACCAATGGTTTGAATGGTACCTAAATGATGTTACAGTTTTTGGAAATTTCTCAAATTTCCAAGAGGCTCCAAAGTGTTTTAGAAGTGCTGAAATAAATGACACAAGAGCATTAGAACGTATTCTTTTCAGCAGATGTGCCTCAAGCAGTTTAAGTATATGGTTGTGAGTCGGGCTCTTCAAACTGTGCTCAGAGACTCTTTGTGGAATACACGACCTCGCGTCTCGCTGAGTGATCTATATCTGACAGCACCCATAACCAGCCCATATCCTGGTGGAAGCATTCCTCCCTCTCATGCATGGCTCTGTTTGAAGCTTTCTTTTTCCCACCCTCTGTTTTCCCCTCTATCTCTCTCTACTTCTTTCTTTAATAGCTGATCCCATTCTTACGCTTCTTGTATTTCAAACGCATATCTGCGAATTGTCTTGATGTCTGCAGCATGTCCTGACAGAATGATGGACAACACTCCCATCCCTCCTTCTGTCACTGCTGGCACGGGCGTAACTTGCTTCTCACAAGCCATCATTGTTCTCTTTTAATTCAAAGTCCCGCCTCTCCCCACCACATCCATCCCAACTGAGTACAGGACACACAAAAGCTAAGAATCCCCTCAATCCCCTTGAAGAACAAAGGTGGGTATCAAATGATTAGCTTACATGCAATAACTCATCCAGTGTGATATTCTGTCACCACTGAAACAGCGCTTTTGCATTGTTGTTTGTGGAGTGTTTACCCACTGGGACAGCAATAGAAGTAATTCAATATACCTGGAAAATCAGCACAGCGTGTGGGAGCAATCGAGGAGAGGATTTTAACAGTGACTTATCGCCTCCTGGTGGATTTTTTTTTTTTTTTTTTTTTTAAGGATCTGCACACTTGGCGTCTATAATATAGTTGATCGCTGCCACCTGCTGGTGTGCTCAGTCCTTTAAGCGAATAAGAATGTTCAAAAAAGCTGTCATGGAGGTCTGTATTATCTCCAAAAGGGTCATTTGATTTACAGTCAGCAAAAAACACACAATCAACAAGCAAAATGCAATAAATAGCGTGTTATTCACAAGACTAATGGCAAACTTCTCTGAGAAAGGGTGGCTAGAGTCATCCAGGATAGGCTGGGCCTGTCCTTACCTTGTACAGGTTATGAAGATGATTCAGGGTCACACCTGCAATTTTGCTACACTGTTGCTG